AGACAGACTCTCAAGCTATTGCCCTAGGGTAGAGTGCTGTGGTGTTATAGCTCATAGCAACTTCAAACTCTTGGGCCCAAGGGATTCTCTTGCCTCAGCCTCCCAAGCAGTTGGGACTACGGGTACTCGGCACAACACCACGCTATTTTTGTTGTTGTTGTTGCAGTTGTCATTGTTGTTCTAGCTGGCCTGGGCCAGGCTTCAACATGTCAGCTTTGGTGTATGTGGCTGGCGTCCTACCCACTGAGCTACGGGTGCCGCCTCTTTGTTTTCTTTTTTTCTTTTCTTTCCTTCCTTTCTTTCCCTTTCCCTTTCTTTCACAGAGTCTCACTCTGTGCCCTGGGTGTCATCATAGCTCACACAGCAACCTCAAACTCTTGAACAAGGAATCCTCTTGCCTCAGTCTCCCGAGTAGCTAGGACTACAGGTGCTGCCACACACCCAGCTAGTTCTATTTTTAGTAGAGACAGATTCTCTGTGTTGTTCACGCTAGTCTTCAATTCCTGAGTTCAAGCAACCCGCCTGCATCAGCCTCTCAAAGTGCTAGGACTACAGGGGTGAGGCACCATGCCTGGCAACAATTGTTATTTCTTTAATTTAAAGCTGCTTTAAAATGTGTTCTGGTTCTAGGCCAGGCATGGTGGCTCACTCCTATAATACTAGCACTTTGGGGGGCTGAGGCCCGTGAATTGCTTGAGCTCAGGAGTTCGAGACCAGCCTGAGCAAGAACAAGACCCCGTTTCTACTAAAAATAGAAAAATTAGCCAGGATTCATGGTGAGCACCTATAGTCCAGCCATTTGGGAAGCTGAGGCAGGAAGATCACTTTTGAGCCCAGGGGTTTGAGGTGAGCCCAGAAATTTGAGGTTGCTATGAGCTAGGTTGACACCACAGCACTCTAGTTTGAGGCAACAGAATGAAACCCTATCTCCAAAAAAAAAAAAAAAAAAAAAAAGTGTTGTGGCTCTAAATAGAATTCATTCCTTCTACAAGTACTTATAAGGCCATATTAAGTATCGGACACTAGGGTTATAAAAACGTAGAGAAAGAGGTGAGCATCAATAATCTTCACAACTGCAAGCGTCGTTTTACTGCACATATACATATGTGTGGCCAACAATCCGTGAGGATTGCCTGTTATATTCATTAGATGGAAGCCAAGGGAGAAACTGTATGCTGAGTAAATAAATCTAAAGGAAAGCATCACTTTTCTCCTTTTCATTTTTCTTCTACCGCCCCTTTATTTCTGTTGTGCTTTTTGAATAATAAGAGTGTTCTTATCCTTGACCAGGCATTTTCTAGCTCCAGCATCTTGTATAGTTTTACACTTCTCCAGTTTTTTCCTATTTTCTATTTTTAATAATTGCTCTCTTTTTCAGACAAAAGGGTTCATGTAGATTGTATTCTCAGTATCTTTTATTGCTAAGCATGGTGCTTTTATACCGAGTAGGCCCTCAGACCTCTGGGTGCTTAGAAATATGGTTTTTGCTTCATCTATTTAATTCTCTAGCCCTACAGCTAAGGTTACAGTATAGGTTGTATATATATATATATACCCCATTTTTTTTGAGATAGTTTCACTCTGGCTCCCTGGCTAGAGTGCCATGGCATCATCATAGCTCATAGCAACCTCAAATTCTTGGGCTCAAATGATCCTCTTAGCTCAGCCTCCTGAGTAGCTTGGACTACAGGGGCCCGCCATGACACCTGGCTAGTTTTTTCTATTTTAGAAACTGCTGAACTCTGGCAATCCACTCACTTAGACCTCCCAGAGTGCTAGGATTACAGGTAATAGCACCATATCCAGCCTGTTATTTATTATATTGAAGAGGGATGAGATGAAAGAGGAAAAATAAAGCCATTTGCTTATAAAGGGTTTTTTATTTCTTATATTTGTTGGCAAAAGGGAAGCTCTTAAGTGTTGAATTTGGAATAGTGTATTGAGTCTCATTTGAGTGTTGGGGACATTTAGAAAGAAAATATTTTAAATCATCAAGACTTTTAAATGCAGAATATAATGGAAGGCCTATTTTTTTATCCTACTATTACATGCCTGAATAGCCATGAATTGGCAATTTTACACTGTCAGTTTTGAATTAAAGTTCCCTTTTCTTCCTTTTTTTTCTTTTATTAGCTATAAACATTCAGATGAAAACCAGCAAACCTGTAATGGACCCCCTATGGAAATTCCTAGAGAACACACCAATAAGTTGAATGTGACTTATACTTATTCTGTGAAATTTGAAGTAAGTATCCCATGTCATCATCTTAATTTTTTCCAAGTCAAGTATATAAATACCTAATATTCAAGCCTAAATTTTCATCTATTTAAAATTGTGTAACATAGCTGAGTCCAACAGCACAGGTAAATTCTTTCTGTTCAAACAATTCAATGGATAACCATTAAAGGGATTGTTGTATTAAATCTACTACGTTTCAGTTACTGTGCCAGGTACTTAACTTTTTTTTTAGTGCATGCTGAGGTTTGAAAGAGGTACATAGGTAAGTAGAGGGACATCTCTTGGGGCTAGCAGGCTGACTAGCTGCTCAAGAGACATAGCATGGTGTAGGGAAAAAGTACATACAATTACAGACAGATCTGTGATTCAAATTCAAACTATGCCACTTACTAGCCCTATGAGCTTATGTAAGTCACGTGATCTCTGAGACTTGGTTTCTTCTCATGTCATTTAATGAGCATTTTCAGAATATATAAAGCCCTCAGTGTAGTGCCTGATCCAGAGTAGGTTCTCAATATATATGGTGTTCATCATGGTCTGCACATCTAGGCTTTTTTTCTTTTATATATAGCTGTTTCTGTAAAGATGGTTTGTGTTTTTGGTAAAAAAAAATATAGTTACAAATAGATGTATTATCAACAGTCCCATGAATATTCTACTACCTCTGTGATACTTGTGCTTTCCAAAGGGTTTTCTGTTAACTAATTGCTTGCTATTATCTTTTCTTTATTTTTGTTTTGTATTTTAAAAGGTACGTGAAAAAAGGATTCTATGGTGAGGTTACTTTGGGCAGTGGTATGTTCAACAAGGTTAAAACAGGCCGAGTGCAGCAGCTCACACCTGTAATCCTAGCACTTTGAGAGGCTGAGTGTAGGTGAATCAAATGTGTATCATTTTTTTTGATTCACTTTTATTTATACTTGATTTTATATAAGGCTTTTTAATAATTTCAGATGTGCTTTTGTAAGACTGAAACTTAATCACCTTTTTTGGCACTAGGTCTCAAATGTCCTTAAACATTTACCCAGTAGTGCTTGGTTTGTGTCATTTCTGTGGACCACCTGACAGCCATTATAACCTGATTCTTCCTAATCTCATTCCGAAAGCAATTCCATGTTGGGGATGCTTTGTTTTTGTCCCTCTGTGTCACCTGTAGTGGTCATCTCCATTTTATAAATGAGGGTTCTGAAACCTAGAGAACTAAATTAATTTTCTCAGGATCATAGCTGGCAGGTGGTAGAAGTGATATTCAAACTCAGGTCTGTCTGGCACTCAAGCTCATAGTTTTTCCACTATACCATTGTGGCTTTTCTACATAAGTGTCCATTTTATTTTCTGCCTGCAGAGTTACTGTAAAGAAAATGAAAACCGTTTATGTTAGAAATGTATGTGTGTACCTTGAATCATCCAGCAAGAGGGCAGGTCTTGATCCTATATCCTGCAGTTTACACAAACTACAGGTGGTGAAAACAGGCTGTTGACTAGTCCAACAAGTTTAATCCAGTCTTCTAATTTTTGGGTGAAATAGAGAAGTATAATCTAGGGAAAGGAATGTAATACGCTACGAAGAAATAAAAAAAAAAAAAACCTTAGACCATTCAAAGCTTAAGTTATTATCAGAAGTTAATTTAAGACCGGAAGGCCTTATACATTTTTATTAGTTATTCATTAGCTATTAAAAATTTAAATGTAAGAACTCTTATGTTTACAGGAAAAGCCATGGAAAAACAGGTCTAAATTGAAGTTCACATTCACATCTTAAACCTATATGGTGTGGCGTTAGTAGTCTGTCTGTCTGTCAGGAGGCAGTTATAGCCATCAAAAGGACTGAAGTGGAAGTTCCGCGGCCATATTAAATGGTGGAATTTGGGGAATCGCCTTATTTGGGGTTAGATATCAACCCCTTGTTCCTCAATAGTCAAGTCCAATTCTGGAAGCTATTCTAGAAGAGAGGATTTTCTTTCGTCATTGAAATTTACTTGATGTGCTTAGAAAGCCCTTGTCTTCTCGAGGTGTTACACTAGAGGGAGCCAGATACCCTTGAGTTTGTTCTTTTTTTTTTTTTTTTTGAGACAAAGCCCCAAGCTGTCCCCCTGGGTAGAGTGCTGTGGCATCATAGCTCACCGCAACCTCCAACTCCTGGGCTCAAGCGAGTCTCCTGCCTCAGCCTCCCAAGTAGCTGGGACCACAGGCACCAACCACAACGCCTGGCTATTTTTTGGTTGCAGCCATCATTGTTGTTTGGCGGGCCTGGGCTGGGGATTCAAACCCGCCACCTTAGGTGTATGTGGCTGGCGCCTTAGCCACTTGAGCCACAGGCACTGAGCCCATCCTTGAGTTTGTATCTTGGCTCTGCCCCTTACTAGCCGTGTGAATTCGGTTAAGTTACCTTAAGCTTCTACTCCCTCATCTGAAAAGTAGAGATAAAATATTTGCCTTGTGTGATTGCTCTCAGAGTTAAGTGAGCCAACATCAAATACTTAGTGCAGTGCCTAGCCAAAGGTACACATAGACATTTCCTATTCCTCAGACGTGGTTCTCCCAGATCTAGGGGCAGTTGAATTACAGATGTCTTATACAACAGTAGCTCATGCATGCACAGAGTGGATTAGGCAGTGGGAATGTACCAAGCCATGATATTCTTTATCTGAACGCCAGAAAGTTGCTGTCATAATTGAGGGGATGATGTAAGGAAGAGTGGTGACGTATATCTCTGATGACGCTCTTTAGTTTCTTGTTTTGGTTGAAAAAATGTTTTTTTTTGTTTTTTGTCTTTTTTTTTTTTTTGAGACAGAGTCTCACTCTGTCACCCAGGATAGAGTGCCATGGAGTTAGCCTAGTTCACTACAACCTTAAACTCCTAGGCTCAAGTGATCTCCTGCCTCAGCCTCCCAAGTGACTGGGATTACAGGCCACAATGCCTGCCTAATTTTTTTATGTCTAGTACAGACAAGGTCTTGCTCTTGTTCAGGCTCTTGAACTCCTGAGCTCAATCAATCAGCTGGCCTTAGCCTCCCAGAGTGCTAGGATTACAGGCAAGAGCCACGGTGACTTTTTTGTTTTTTTTACAGTGCAGCTTTATTCAAATATATATGTTCATGTCCTTGTATAGATCCTACTGTCTGTATGTGTGAAGTTCTCTAGAGAGACAAAGCTGTGTGTTTGTGTCTGCTTGTTTGTTTAAGTTGAGATTTTTAAAAATCATACGTATACATTTGTTTTTAGTAATAGTATTCTGTATACTTTTGAATATATCCCTGTATCTAATTGTAGGTATTATTAATTTTTTATATAAGAATAAATGTATAATGTATGTGTGTATATGTGTGTATCTCTCCGTATAATATTTTTTTTAAGGCAGGGTCTCAAGCTGTCGCCCTAGGTAGAGTGCCATGGCATCACAGTTCACAGCAACCTCAAAGTCTTGGGCTTAAGCGATTCTCTTGCCTCAGCCTCCCAAGTAGCTGGGACTACAGGCACCCACCATAATGCCTGGCTATTTTTTGGTTGTAGTTGTTATTGTTGTTTGGCAGGTTCGGGCTGGATTCGAACCTGCCAGTTCTGGTGTATGTGGCTGGCACCCTAGCTGCTGAGCTACAGGTGCCAAGCTTCTCTCTGTGCAATATTAAAAGAAAAAGACTCAAACTCTAATAACATAATTTAAAGAGCTTTATTCTGAGCTGAATGTACATGACTTGCTTAGACCATGGCCTTAAAAGGTCCTGAGAAAATGTGTCTATGGTAGGTGGGTTACAGTTTGGTTTTATACATTCGTGGAGACAGGAATTACACATGTAACCACCACATTGATTACTTGCTGATTGCTAATGGAAAAATGTAATAATAAGTGAATAAGTAAATAAACATGAGTTCATGTAACATCTCTGACTCTTCATCCAGCACCACTGTATTTATTTTAGCCCTCTCCTCTTGTTTACTTTTTTTCCTGTTATTTATTTATAACATTTTTTTTTAGAGACAGAGTCTCACTCTGTCACCCTTAGTAGAGTGCTGTGACCTCACAGCTCACAGCAACCTCCAATTCCTGGGCTTAGGTGATTCTCCTGCCTCAGCCTCCTGAGTAGCTGGGACTACAGGCGCCCGCCACAATGCCCGGCTATTTTTTGTTTCAGTTTGGCTGGGGCCCGGTTAGAACCCACCACCCTCGGTATATGAGGCCAGTGCCCTACTCACTGAGCCACAGGCCCTGCTCTATTTGTAACATCTTTTGCTGAAAGTGAGAAACCTGGCTGTCACCATCTATAATATTTTATTTATTCAACCCTTGCATACATGGAGTTTCAGAACTGCTAACCCATATCCCTGTGAGAAGCAAATTTATCAACGAGAGTACAGTGTTTGTGTAGTATTTTTTGGGTACAGAAATATCTTATATATTTTTTCTGTATCAAGTCTGACCTCTGATATGTATTTTAATGTTTTACACTTACAGCTCATCTTAGGACCAGCCACATTTCAAGTGCTCCATAGCCACATGTGACTAAGTTCTCCCCTTTTGGCACAGATCTCAACCACCTCTCATGCAGCACCTGTCCCCTCCAACCTGTGCTTGTGCATGTTTTTGTCCTTTTGCTGCTTCTTATCATCAATAGAGAAAGTTTTGCCAGATTTGTGACATACATTGATTCTAGGTTCTTGACTGGGTGAACTACACTGTCTCACTGTCCCTTAGACTGTGGAAGCTTCCCGTGTTCCTCTTGATGCTCGAAGGCACAGGAGCAGTCCTTATGTGGGACTGGGGTGGGGGACCTGGACAGGAAGCCAGACTCTATGCACACATTGAACCACTTCCTGATGTTAGAGCTGTGCAGCAGCTGTGGAGCCTCAGCCACCCTCACCTGCCTCCTCTACCACCTTAGGGCAGCTACCTGCCAACTGCTGTATGGACTCAGAGCCTCTGATCATCAGCTGAGCTTGTGAGTGTGCAGCCCAATCAAGCAGAGACTAAACAGAGGCAATGTAATCATTTGTACTTTTAGAAGTTT